TGGTCCCTATATAGGTACTTTAAGGCCTAAGTATATACTATGTGGGCACATGGAGCCTTTCCATGGCCACAGCTATAGGGGCTTCCTCAAAGGCCTTAGTAGGGGACATTTTATACATTTTCCCTTATTGGGCTTAAGATCTTATGTTCTTAGGGACTGTAGCTTTTTATGCCCAAGTTCAACATGGTTCTGCTCGTCAACTGCCCCAACTTCGAACCCGAAGCCCCAAACCCATAAACCCATAAACCCCTAAACCCCTAAATCCCCAAATACCCTGAACCCCCAAATACCCTAAACTTAGGGGGTACTTAGAAATACTTTTTTAATTTTCGGTTATATAATCCCTGAGAAAGCAGCTAAAATTATAATTTTTGCTAGGGTTCTAAGTTCAGTATAGTAAACCCTACAGCCCAAACATCCCTTGCCTCCGTCTGATGGGTGACGTCGTTGTGTTGGCCCAGTACTGCGTGTTGGAGTGAAATTGTACTTTGTCCTGGGCTATAGTTACTATAGTTCGTGTCTCACAGTGTGGTGTGTGCCTGTAAAGGCAGGCTAGTGTGAACGAGCGGATGATACTACTTTGCCCTAAACCCTAAACCGTAACAAACTCCTCCTTGCTTCAAGCCGAGAGGCCCGCAGCAACTTATCCCTTCAACTGCAGGTTGTCCCTTCAATCATGGTGTGTTAACAAGGGGTCCAAGTATCATTATGGTATATACTTAGACCCCCGAAATACCCTATAAGTATATACTATAGTGATACTTGGACCCTTTGGGACACCGTCCTAGAAGACTTGAAATTCATGGCTTTGCTCCCACACAGTTTACACGAGTAATGTAGCGATGTTTGGCTGATTGCCACGCCAGGCAGCAGCGCAGCTGTCATAGCTGACCACTCCGCGGGGATTCCTTTTTGTAATTCTAGTCCTAGTAGCTGAGTGGATACACTTTACACTTTTGGGGATAATATGACCCACTATAAAACTGAAAGTGTACACTTTTTGGGGCTTATGAACTCAGCAACTAGGATATAATTTAGTATAATCTGCCTCCAAACCCTATTCCAATTATTAATGGTCCCTATATTATAGTGCCCTTATTGTAGCCCGTATAGATCCCCCCTTTAACGGGCCCTATTCTAACTAATTATTAAGGCCCCTGTATTAAACCGAGAAGCACAAGTCTTGTGACTTTCCCTAAGGGTCCATGTGCTCATATAGCATATACATCGGCCTTAATGTAGTCCCTATATAGGTACTTTGGGGCTTATGTATCTCTATATGGGAGTTTCCGAAAATAGGGGACCCCAATATAGTACCCTAAATAGTAGGATCCTTATTATAAGGACCCCAAAAAGAAGGTACCCCCAATATTCGGAAACTCCCATATGGGTACATGGGCCCTTAGGGTTTTTCTTGCAGGCCAGCATCGACGAGTTGCTGACGGTCTTCGATCGCCAGTCACGTGGCCTTTTTTTGGGGCGTTGCTGAAAAACAACTCGGAATATTATAGAACATTATAGAGGCCTGAATAGTTTCTACTACTATGTTTGGGTTCCTTGCTATGCCTGTTATGGTATAATATACCACCCCAAACCCCGTTCCTATATTTGCGGTACCTGGCTTGGCGATCCTTTCAATGGCGGTCCTCACAAGTAGGAGGCCCTTATTCTTCGTAGCTGAGTAGGTAACTTTTAACCTTTGGGGGGTTGCATCCTACCACATTGGCAAGGTTGGCCTGTCTTGTTTTAGGGTACTCCGCCGTACTCCGCCCTAAGTATTTCCCGAACCATATGGGTGGTTGCCAAAATCAAGGGCCCTTGTTGAATCCCGAATATAATACGGCACCTAATATTTAAGGGTACCCAAGAAGGGAGCCTAATTTTGACAACCACCCATATGGTCTTCCTTGATACTTGCAAGCTACTTCACGAATCCCCTAGACCCTCAGGACCCTAAGCCCTCAACCCTACTTGCCCCAAGGGTCCAAGTACCCAATAATCGTATACTCTCCGAAATCCTAACCTGCGTAACTACTATCCTAAAGCCGAGTACCTAATTATTGGGTCCTTCGTACCCTTGGGGTTAATTCGCAGAGCTACATCGACCAGCACGATTGTTTGCTTATCCAGAGCACAGCGGTGTGGCATTTTCTTCCGTTGCCCGGATAGTTGAGGTTTACCACGTAGTAGAGTAGGTAGCCTGTAACCTATACAGCCCTTATGTAATGCCCAAAGGCTAAGCCTTTAGTTCTTCAGGACACTGGACAGCTTAAGGTTTAGGGTTCTTTGTCGGAGATCGGGCTGCAGGTTTAAGGGGTTTAGGCTTTAAGGTTCAGGGATCAGGAGAATGGCGATCTGGAAGCTTTCAAGCGGGATGCTGACTTTAATGGATCTCCTAGCCACAAGGAAGGTGCTACAGTCTGGACACTGGGCGGGGCAAATTTGAGGTAGCCGCTCACTTCAAAGATGAAACCTGAGGCAGAGGCGTATCGTAGTTTACGAGCAAAAAACACATAAGCATAAACTTTCGGCGTTGCGACGACATAGTAGGGACAGGCAGCCGGAAGAAAGGCCACTGTCAGTTTAGAGGTGCGTTCAACTACTCATGTCCCCAGCTTTCAACGCCTTAAAGGGGCGTCAAACATCAGTCCGCTTAACCAAGGAACATCGTCAATTTGGAATCAGTCATCATTAGACTACAGCCGGGCCTCTGATGAGGGGCCATTTATGAAGGCACGGTGGTGTCTCTGTTGCCCCGACACCGCACAGCAAGGCACGTGAAGATCATGAAGGGCAAAGAGACCTTCTTCAAACCATGGGCCGCATGTCCCTGAACGGTGAGGGTTTAGGGGTTTGGGGAATTTCGGATTTTGGGCTTTGGGAATTTAGGGTATACGGCTTAAGCTGTGTAGGGATTTGGGGGATTCCCTAACTAAGCGCTCACCTGGAAGACGTCAGTTGGGCCCGATTTACCCCGACACCCTTTAAGCCGAAGGCTTCAACCGTCAGTTCAGGGCTGTGTTTCCCCTAAAATCCCTAAAAGGATCCCAAGTAGGTACATAGTAGAGAGTACAGCTTCTGCAGTCAGGATGCCAATTACGCCTATGGTTTGGGTAAGCATTCTATTCAACCTTTTGGGGCTTGTAGACTCCTACTATAACTCAAAAGGTTAGCCTCTTTTGGGCTGGGGTCTTCAGCCCCTCAGATATTATGAGCCGGGTTCAGAATCTACATAGGATCTGCTATCTAAAATAGATATCCCCCAAAAGGGGCTAGGGTATGAGCCTACAGGTAGAATATACAGCCTAAACCCTAAACTATAGGCTTCACAAAATGTGCTACAGGCTTTATCAAGGCCAGGGTTTCCAGATCCTGGAGAATGTCCTTAGCTCCTAGACTGGACCCTTCGGGACCCGAACGGGTTCGGGGATGACAGGGTATAGGCGGTTTAGGGTTTAGGGTTTAGGGTAGATTTCAGGGTTTGTGTGTTGAGGGAGCTGCTTTTGAGAGGTCCGGCGTGCATTTATCTGACATAGTCTGCTCTTCGTCCTAGTGCCGAAGGTCCGCACTCGGAGGCAGACAACCAGCATAATCATAATCGGAACCCTGAGGCATACTGTCATTTATATTAGGCCCCGTATATTATGCTGCGGGGTCTGACTCATTGGCAATAACTTCCCCTCAGAGTCCCTATAATACTACAATCTTCCCCCCAAACCTGTCCCAATCATTCAGAACTTCTGATTAGTGGAACTTTTGGGGTGTCGGTATAGTCCCTATATGGGAGTTTCCGAAAATTAGGGTACCTTATTTTGGGGTCCTTGTATAAGGATCCTACTATTTAAGGTGCCATGTTAGGGTCCCCTATTTTCGCAAGCTCCCATATGTCCCGATGTAGTCTCAGAGTTTAACCTTGAGTCTCCCTAGGAGACCGGGCAACTACCTACAGTCTCCATTGTAGCTCCTTTTTCTGTTTAACCAGCTTTATGGTTAGGATCCTACAATATACAGTCTTTAGATATCCAAAAAACGGAACTACAATGGAGACTATAGGTAGGAGCTTGTGTTACAGGTCGGAAGGAGCCGGCTTAGGGTTTGCTTTTGTCATAGTTGAGTAACGCTTTACATGTTTATGGGTACTTGCCGTCGCGCAGGAATAAAATGTTAGGTTTTTTAAAAACCATGGACTATTTAGGGTTTACCCAAAACCCAGAAGCCCCAACCCAGAAACCTGGAACCCCGAATCCAGCGCATTCTCCCCTCTGGATATTTGAGTCTAGACCCAGAGGCTCCATAGTAGTTCCCTTTTGGGATTGCCTTATAGGATTCTAAATATGAACCCCAAAAAGGAACTAGCTAGTTAGGTCTTTGGGACATTTTATATTTGCTCTTATTGAGGCTAATGCTTTGCAAAGGCTTTAACAGCACCTCCGTGCTAGTCAAACCGTAATCGCGAAACCCAACTCCCCATACTCCGCGTATTACCTTAGCCTGGGTGTGGAGTACCATGCTTGAACATATTTTTGCTACCTGTTCCTTCAAGGAACCATTAAGAAATAAACGTCTGTACTTTTTTGTCTCTGGTTACGTTTAGTTAGTTCCCTGGAAAGCCCAGCCCAAGCTGAAAAGAGAAGCTCGGAAGTTGGGTCGATCTTGCGGAAGCCACTGCGGATCAAGCCACTCGGCGGTGTGCCTTCGATTTGCGCCTTGCGCTTGAAACGTTGATTCGAAGGAGGCGCCTGGTGAGGGGGCTTCGGGTGGCGAGGGGCGCGGGACTTGGCGCATCCGACTTGCGAAGTTCCAACAGGGTTTCAAACGAAAACACAGTTACACGGGTTATTGCGGTTTAAGCTTTAGGGCTACCCTAAGGCCCCAAGGTAGTTCCTTTTTGGGGTTCACATGTAGAACACAATAAGTAATCCCAAGTAGGAACTACTTTGGGGCCTATGGGTAAGCCCTGAAGCCTAAAGCCTCAACCCTCAAACCCGGGCACAGGCACCATGCTTCGAGTTTTCGGGGGACCCCTCCCAGCAGCATATGCTGGAGTGATCTTGGTCCTGGGATGCTGGGCATCCACGTTGCAAGAAGAGCTCTTGGGTTTAGGGTTCAGGGTTTTGGGTTCAGGATTTAGTTTGGAAGTTGTGTTTTTTTTATATCATATCTGTATGTATGTATGCATGCATATGTGGATGGATGCGTGCATACACATATACTATGTATATGTAGGTATGTATATGCATGTATGTGTATGCAGAGCGAGGCAGCTAGAGAGCTGAGGACTGTGGGCTAAACCCATATCCCCAAAGCATGAACCCCGAGCCATCCGACCCGGGCGGAAGCGAAGCTGCCACTACTACTAGTGCTGCTGCTACTACTACTGCCATTGCTGATATGACAATCACAATGATAAACATAATACCAGAACCCAAGACTACCACACTCCTCTGCGATGAGTGCCAGCTCCATTCCGCTAGCACTATGCATGACCACTAGCGCCTCTTCAACTTTGAGCGTATCCTGCCAAGACCACAGAAGCTCAGTGCTTCAACGTAATCTTGCAGCCTAAGGCGGCTTGCATTGGGCAGGAGGACTGCGAAGTCGACACTTCGGGCGAACCCACGGGTATGCTCCAGATCAGCGTTCCTTGGATTGCACGTGTCGGCTGTTATGTCAGTCGTCGTCGTCGAACTGATGGCCGCCACGAATACCGAATACCACCACTAATGCATCCACTACGACCACAACAACAGCAACTACTACTACTACTACTACTACTACTACTGCCGCTACTACTACTACTGCCGCTACTACTACTACTACTACTGCCGCTACTACTACTACTACTACTGCTACAACGACTACTACTACTACTACTACTACTACTACTACTACTACTACTACTACTACTACTACTACTACTACTACTACTATTGCTGCTGCTGCTACTACTACTACTACTACTTCTGCTACAACGACTACTACTACTACTACTACTACTACTACTGCTACTACTACTACTACTACTACTACTATACTACTACTACTACTACTACTACTACTACGACGACTACTACTACTACTACTACTGCTACAACGACTACTACTACTGCTACAACGACTACTACTACTACTACTACTACTACTACTACTACTACTACTACTACTACTACTGCTACTACTACTTCTTCTACCACCACGGCTACTACTACTACTACTACTACTACTACTACTGCTGCTCCTACTGCTCACACTACTACGACTAATAGTAATAGTAATAATACTAGTACTGCTACGACGACGACTACTACTACTACTACCACGACGACTACCAGTTACTACTACTACTACTACTACTACTACTACTACTACTACTACTACTACTACTACTACTACTACTAGTACTACTAGTACTACTAGTGCTAGTACTAGTACTACTACTAGTGCTAGTACTAGTACTACTGCTGCTGCTACTACTGCTTACACTACTACGACTACTAGTAATAGTAATAATAATACTAGTACTGCTACGACTACTACTACTACTACTACTACTACTACTACTACTACTACTACTACTACCACGACGACTACCAGTTACTACTACTACTACTACTACTACTACTACTACTACTACTACTACTACTACTACTACTACTACTACTACTACTGCTACAACGACTACTACTACTGCTACAACGACTACTACTATTACTACTACTGCTACTACTACTACTACTGCTACTGCTACTGCTACTTCTACTACTACTACTACTACCACTACTACTACTACTACTACTACTACTACTACTACTACTACTACTACTACTACTACTACTGCTCCAACTACTGCTGCTACTACTACTACTGCTGAATGCTGCCTACTGCTTTCTACCTACTACTCATGCCTGCTACCCGCGACCTGCGACCTACTACCGACTACCGACTACCTTCGAACGACAACAAAACCAACCACACCACTGCCACTGCCACTACCACTACCATTATCGCCATAATGAGAAATATCGTGGTCCTCGTTCAGCTTTGCGAGTGCACGTACTGTCGACACGACGAACCATTATGGCGCTGCGATTGGCGTGTCTACGTGGCTGATGCTATCAGAATACCTTGTCGTGTCCGATGTGAGCAACAGACACCCCGCATGCGAAGTCACCGGTGTTCACCGTTACCAGCAAAACGCCCTCATTGCCATACTTGTGCACGAGTCATCGGAATGGCTGTGGCCTTTCTCGTCGCCGCCATCGTTATCAGGGTTACATAAGACGACCACGGAATCGTCCAATTGGTTCATGGCCTCCTTAAAGCCTAAAGGTTCCACATGGTTCCACTCTGAGGTGCGCCAAAAAGCATACACCTCAAGCCTTGAACCCTAAACCTTGACCCTTGAATGTACCCATGCTTCTTCATAGGGACCCTTGGGGGGGTACGTGGGAGGGGGGTAGGGGACTATGTTTCCTTAAATAAGCCTTATTTAGTCCTTATTATGGGTATTACCCTATAGCCCTCCACCTGCCCCCCTAGGACTCCCCATGACTTCTGCTGATCCCTGAAACCTACACCCCTAAACCCGGAACACTGACCCTTGAAGCTACCCCAACCCTAATCTCGTGAAGTTTTTCAGGCCGGACCCTACTATAGGGGCCTTAATAATTAGAATAGGGTTTTGGGGTTTTGGGGCCCATTCTACTATAACTATAATAAGGAAGCCCCCCAAAATAGTATAGGTAATTGCGAGACTTCTGCAGATCCGTGGCAAAGGCTTACGAGTCCTTAGACTCGTCGAGAGCCGACTGTGAGGACGAGTTCCAGGCCGCTTTTGTTCCCAAAACCCTTAAACCCGAAACCCAAGTTTAGGGTTCAGGTTTAGGGTTTAGGGTAACCCTAAACCCCAAACCCCAAACCCCAAAAGGTTGAGGGGTTTAGGGTTTAGGGGTTTAATCATGGTTGGCACATGGATGCTCTGGGGGAATGGATGGGACTGGACGGTATCATGGTTCGTCCATGGATGCTCTCCGAAACGACGAAAGTCTGCGAAAGGACAGAGATAGCAACACAAAAACTACAAAACAAAATAGCCTGTGAAAATGAAGTCGAAACGGCCCTTCCAGCATAAAACGCGCTCAAAAACAGCAAATCCTCGAGTTTTGCACCCGAAAAGAGCAAAATCGCAGCGCGGGCAAAATCAGCAAAAAAGTAAAAACGAAACACAAAACCAGAGAACGAATGTTCAAAAACTCGAGGAAAGCGCACCTGGTAGACCAAAACTTCGAAACAGCAAGAACGAGAACAGACCTCAAAAACGCGTCCGGGCGGCGTGTCAGCCAGCTGGCGAAAACCACCTTGCAATGCGGGCCTCGCCCTTGCTAAGTAATTAGGAGGGAAAAATGGTTGAGGGTTTAAGCTTTCTTTGGGGGTTGAGGCAACCTTTGACCTTGTGGGGCCCAGGTAATCCTACTATACTTCAAAAGCTTAACCTTAACCTTTCTTGGGCAAGGGCACGCAGCCCCGAAGCCAAAAGGTTGAGGAATTAGGGTTTAGGGTTAATTAAAGCTGGAACGCTAGACTGGAAAGCCTAGAACCAAACCTACTTGGAGGTTCAGGGGTAGTTATAAGTGGGTTATACGTCCCCTAATACGGGATATAAGTATAGTTGCCCAAGTTACGGCCCTACTTCTAACTACCCATGAACCTCCAAGTAGGTCCTAAAACCAGGCGGGCCTTTGCACTGACGGCGAGTGCGTGGATTGCTTCCTGACTCAAATCTACTTGAGACGTACTGGGAAGCTTGACGTAGGTCTGAGTTCTGCGGTGAAGCTAGATACAGCCCTGCCTAAGTCTGACCTGGGTGAGCTCAGGCCTGCCAGTTGGAGCTTTTAGGTGCTATCTTGCGATTAAACCCTAAACCTCTAAAACCTAAACCTCTAACCTCCAAACCCTAAGCCTCTAAACTCTACCTTAACCCTGCATCACCTACCTTGTTTGTGTGGTTCCTTATTATGATTTCTTTTTGGAAGTCCTTAAAAAGTGTAGGTTCTTCGGGATTAAAGTAAACCAGAAACCCCAATTGTAGACGCAAGGCAGGCTCTCTCCAGACCCGAGAGCATCTTTTGGATGTCAGGGTCCTACCCAAAGGGTATAGGCATCTCTTTAGGAGGGTCCGGAATGTCCTAGGGAGAGTCCTTGAGTCTCTTTGGGGTTTCAGAAACCCTCAATTTTGAGGTTCCCCAGTTGTTAGGACCCTTAGGCGTGTTAGACTCGAGACTTGAACTATAGTATACTGTAGCATTATATGATGATATACTATACTAAACCTGTAATATGCTAAAAGTTTTATTGTAATATAAGATAACATAAGCTGCCATGATATGCAAGAGTATGCCATATACTGTATTAACTATAATGCACCACTATGTACGAGATGCTGTTCTCCTTGTTCTAAAAGAGCCCTGTAACTAGCTTACTTCAGGCTCATGGTCCTGCTTAATGCGGGCTCCTTTGTGCAGACTTTAGCTGTGGTATACACCAAAACCTGATTCCAATTACTCAGGCTCCTATAGTAGAAACCAACCGGTAACCCTCGTGGAATCCTCAAAAGGAACCCTTTTCTAGCTGCGACAGGTAGGAAAGTTCGCCAGTTTGAGGGTTCGAGATTTTGGCAGCTTCAACAGAGTTTGAACCAGTTGCCGGCCTAGTCTGTCCTAAGTCTTGTGCACTACAAGTACAGCAAGTTTCTAGGGCACTCCGAGTTCGAAAGTTTGAGAGATCGAAAAAATAAAAGGTCTAGTAAAAGTAGTTTCAAGTTTTGAATCGGAAAGGCACGAGTGAACCGCAGTGCTCGCATTTCTTGAACCCGCCTCCTCCTTTAGCAATTCCGGTTCTTTACATTTCTGGAACTCGCCCCCTCCTTTGGCGATCTCGGCTCATCACATTTCTTAAACCCACCCCCGCATTTTGGCGAGATCGTTGACCACTGTCTTACACC